GCGGGGCGCGCCCCGCCCGCCGGGGCCACCCGCCGCCGTATCGCCGCGACGCCAGCTCCGCCCTTCCTATAAGAGCTCTACTTTTATATCCCCTCCTTCACTGGTCTTTAAAAATTGGGCTACCATTCACCATGTAATCTTAAATCAGTGCAAAACAGTTCCAAATAACTGTCTTATTGTAGGCCAAAGAACTTCACTTTCTCTCTTATATTTATTTATTTTTTAATGTATGCACGTTTTTGCCATAGTTTGGGTGAATTCTGTATTCTGTAGTTTACTCATCTTCCTGGTAAGGAGAGTTGGGTTCAGAAACTGTCATTATGGTTTGTGAGTGAGTGGTGCAGAATCATACATCTATAAAGTTATACGTCATAAAAGAATATGACTAAATAGTTTGATGTCAGAACTAAATACTGATTTTGCACTACTTAAGATGATCATTTAGAAGTGATAGACTTAATTAGTATTCTGTTTCATTTTTCTCTAGGCTTACGGTATGTCTGCTTTGCCTCTAAACCTTATAAAGGGCACAAGAAATGCTAGTTATGAACGCCTGGAGAACACTGAAGATATTGAAGATGTTGAGCAAAATATTCAAAGAATTAAATCAAAGGTTCGGTGCTACTTTGAAACATTACTTTTAGAACTTTAATTCTGTGTTTTTCTAAGATCACTTAATTTTCACTCATTATTAGTTTGAACACCTGAAAAATGGAATATATATTAAAGTAGGATTTCATTTCATTATTTCAAAACACAATACAGTATATATTAATGTAGGATTTCATTTGCACTCATTCACTTTGTAGGAGCCCAATAAAGTACCTAATTTGCTGATAACTTGAATAACTATTAAAAGTTACGACTCTAGTATATGTGGTTCTTTGGATTGTTAATTTGTATTTATTCTGTTTATTCAGTGAGTTTTAGTTTGTTTGCTTATATGAAGTTTTTATTAAAAGTGGATGAATAATAATCCCTCAGATTTTAGTATAACATTTCTGTTTATGGTACTTTGGAATTGGAAAACCAATGCCTTTACCATTTAACAAGCATTCTTAGTTTTTTAAAAGATTTTTTAAAATTACACTAAAGTGAAATTAGAACTCAATTTCCATGAGTAAGGATTTGAATTAAAACAAACGTGAAGATTGTAATACTAATGTGCAAATGTTGCACTTTTTCTTACAATTCTCCTTACTAGTGCAGAGATGGTCGGCCTTTACCAACTCGAGAGAGGCAAATGCTGCAACAACTTGAAGACAAGCTAAGAACTCTTCGCAAAAGAGGACGGCGTCTGGAATATGTTGAGAAAAGCTGCTGGACAAAGTTCTGTGGTATCATGAGACCCCTAAAAGTAAAGATCATCATATTGTATTGTAGGAAAACTTTTTGTTTGTACCACATTCTGTTGATATCCTACCAATATCTCATAAAACATTCAAATTATTGGAGACAGACTCCATTCAGAAGATCAGAATGGCTCTACTGGTACCATAAAATGAGACAAAGCAGTACCATTGTTTTTGAGGTTTATTTTAAACCCTGTTGCTTAGGCCTCATGCCCAAAGATACTTTGAGTATATATGTGTTGGTTAGCAGTCTCTTTCCACTGCATAAAGTTATGCAACAAAATGTTTTGAAAGAGAATAAAGCTGAAAAAGTGTCTGTGCTATGAAGATGATGATGATGATAATGGCTTAAAAATCCCATTGGGGAGTACAGGCGCTTAGGTTAACTTAAACCTAAGTTTAATCCCAGCTATTGTATTTCATAAATGTTAGCACTACCTGTTCTGTAAGCATAAATGTTTTTCAGACAACTGCAAAAAACACTGGATACTAGCTAGGCATCTGTGAGACTGCTGGTGTGGAATGCTTTGCCTGACTCTTAATTGCTACTTAGAAGCAGGAAGCCTTGATGCTTCAAGCAATCCCTTTGATGAGGTGCTTCGCATAGCCCTAATACAACTCTTTAGAAGAAAGACCCAGAGATAGCTTTTGCTAATTCAAATGTGTGTAAGTGTGTAAAACGGATAGAAAGTATCAGTTTTTGTAAAACATTCACTTATTTAGATGTAAAGAAATAAAATGTTGAGTGAATTATCCAATTATTATAATGAACAAAATTAGGATGTTCAATAATTGTAATATTATATCATGGAAAAAGTAATGCGAAGCAGCGTATTGTGCCATGGGTTTCTTTTGAGCTAATCAAATCACTACATATATAATATTAATAGATAACCTTTTGCTATATTTCCACATCTTTATTGTTAATATATATCATGGTTCAGAACTGTAGCTAAAATCAAGTTGTGGAGAATGAGGGAATTCTAATGCAGTGTATTAAATGAGATCACACATCAGTTTGATTCTTATTTGTTGATTTACTTGAAAATATGGCTCCCATTAAATATGCTGGGAGTGGAGTCTCATACAGTTGTATAGTGCCATGGGGTCAGATTCTATTTTGCAAGTGCACAGATTAACTTAGAAATTGGAGAAAGATTTATGGTTTAAGTTACTGTTACAATTGGACAAATAATGGATCAATGTAAAATGGGTAGACAGGAGGAGAAATTTGTGAACAGATTTGCAGGATGAACAAATAAGCAACAAATTCAATTTAGTGTTAGAAAACCATCAGGGTATGAATGTGGAAAAAGGAAAGATACCAAGAGAATGTAGAAACAAAAAAGCCAAGACACTAGGGATTTTAAATTTCCATAAAAAGAATTGCACCTGAATGATGCTGAAAATACACCATTACTTTGTAATAGGCATGTTTGATAGCAAAGATCACTCTCTTATTGAGACTAAACTTCTACCAGAAAATGTTATTTTGTCATAAAAATAATTTCTTTGTAGTGAAAGATATAAAAGTTATACGTAGCTTAAGAAGATTACGTTGTAATATCCAGATCAAACTTATTTCACTAGACTTGGAAACTTGTTTAATACTCTGTATTTGGCAAGGCCTCTTATGTTTATTTAGTATAAAGATCAATCACAATTTTGAATCAAGTTTTTGTAAATAATGGTGTAATGATGTAATAGTAGATAACTAGTAGTATTCTTATAGCTACCACATAATATAATGTAAGCAGAGTACAGTATTTAAATGTACTTTGTATTGCTGTGAACAATGAGAATCATAAAATCAAGTCTACTTTTAAATCAAAAAAACTAAAAACAGAGGTAGGATCATATTATAGAATAATACATTATTCCAATTCATTTAAATTTAGATAACTCTCTCTTGTAGTATGTACGAACACATTAGGACTCCAGCCTTGCACTGAGCTCTGATCTTATTGCTTTAATTATTCAAAAAAGACTTACTTTTAAAAAATGAACTCAGTTTGCTAGGCAGCAATTATGTCTAATGTAATTTTTCTCACTTGTGGAAGTGGTACCTCATATGTGTTTATGTATTTATGCATTTTATCTTCAATCTTCATGGACTAGATTTTATTTATTTATTATTAGATTTATATGCCGCCCATCTCCCCCAGAGGGTGACTCTGGACGGCTTACAATTAAAAACGACAATAAAAACATAAAAATATAAATACCCCTGATTAAAACACAAATAACAAATCTATAAAAGCAATATACAAATCAAGATGATGTGGGAAGCAGTATCAATCATCCCATGAGCCAGCTCCAGCAATGCGAGCCCCCATCAGGCCCCAGGCCACCCAGCATAGCCATGTTTTTACACCTTTTCAGAAAGCCAGGAGAGTGGGGGCAGCCCGCACCTCAGCTGGCAAGCTGCTCCACAGGGTGGGGGCCACGGCAGAAAAGACCCTCTTCCTGGACCCCACCAGCCAAAATTCCTTGAATGGCGGGGTGCACAACATGCTCCTTCTGCCAGACTGAGTGGAGTGGGCAGATATAACGAATATAACCACATATATATATATATATATATATATATTTACAGTTGCTAAAATAGTAATAAAAATACATAAATATGTGCTTTAGTTGTTTTCTCCACTTTTTAGAAAGATTTAAATGTACATTGTCATCTGAGCAGATCTTTTCCTAAATGATCAGCTGAATAAATTAAGTCTGCTTATATCTGGACAAAATTATTTTTCAGAAGATGAATTGAGGAATTCAGCTTAACTTATAACTTTTTTCTTAATTACAGTTTTGGACCCTTATAAAGATAGTATTTCTAGTTTTCTTGTTTTGCTTTGTGTGAGCAAATATGCTGTGCAGAACTCAGAACAGTTTCTGATATTATTAGCAGAGGCTTTGGAAATAGATGTTGCATTTTTAATTATGAGGGAAAATGCCCTGCTAACAAATTTCGCATATTTATCTCATTAAATTATGACAGAACAAACCATGCATTGTTGAGAAACTTGCTAAACTGTTTTCAAACTTACCTGTCTTTTAGGTTGTATGGGGAATATTTTTTATACTTGTAGCCCTGCTGTTCACTGTTTCTCTCTTCTTGTCAAAGTAAGTATATAATATACTTTGCTTTGCATTTTAAAATGTATCTGCTGAAAATCATTCAGGCAAACTCAAACAAGTACTAGATATGAATGTCCTTATCAGGCATTCACCAGAAACCCGCGAGAGCTTGAAAGTGAGCAGAACATGGGTCATGTATGCAGTCATATCCACCATTTCTCTTGTTTAGCACAGAGGGCTGAAAGTATCTTCTGATGTTTATTTGAATATTAGTCAGCTGTTTACATAATAAAAGAGGAATTGATTGCAAGGCTGTACTATTCACATTTAAGCAAACGATTCTTCAGTCCTTTCTGAGCATGTGAATATTGGAGAAAGTAGGGTATATGACCAGTGTGCATACCATATTTCCGTCTGCTCTCAAATCCTCATACGTTCAGAGACACACGTGAAGAAAAATTTTAATGTTCTACTTCAGTGCAAGCTTTTGGCAGTTGCTTCAAACTGAAAGTATTTCTTCCAAATAAGATTCTCTCTCACTGCTTTAACAAGATTTATTGAGATGAAAGGGACAGGGTTATTGAAATCTCAGCAAGTAACTGTTTTCAATTTAGAACCAATTTATCTCCCAATATATTATGATGGAGACTTTCTTTGTTTCTTTCTAATGCCTTTCCGATGAACTGGTGGGGAAGTAGTTTTCCCTGATAATGGAAAAGCATGCAGGTAGCTGTTTAGAAACCATATCCTTATCAGTCTGTGAACTAATGTTTACAATTAGCTTGTTTCCTTTACAGCCAACATGATATGGCTTAAATACTGGACTTAATAGAGATAATGTATTCACTACATTTTTTTCTGTATTTTTGTTTTCATTAGTCAAGTTCTGAAGGAACATTTGTTGCAGCCCCTGTTTAGCTCATGATGATCTTCATATCAGGGGATGTGTAAAAATTTCTGATTTGGGGAATGGAATATTCCCACTCAGGACCATTCTGTTTTGGGAGTGTTTTGCTATAAATCCTCCATACCATAAATGGTTTGAGGTGCTCTGAGTTGATCCGGCCCCCAGGCAGGCCTGCTTCATTTAGAGACACTTCAAACTGCTTACATTCTGGAAGATTTATTGTGGAAATAACTGAACAACCCTAAAAAGGCGTAGTCCAGAAGAGATTAGGAATGGACCAGAGAGAGATTGGAATGCTGCAAAATTCTTTGGAACATCATTTTCAAATCAGTATGTTTTGCATAAGAGCCACTTTGGTGTAGTATTTTAGGGCACCAGGCGAGAGACCAGGAGTTCTAGTCCTGCCTTAGGCATAAAGCCAGCTGGGTGACTTTAGGTCAGTCACTTGTTCTCAGCCTGAGGAAGCAGGCAAGGGCAAAACAATCTTGCCAGGAAAACTGTGTGAACTTCTCCAGGCAGTTGTCAGGAGTCAAGACTGACTTGAAGGCACCAAAAAAAAAAAAAAAAAGTTTTGTACATCCCTAGTTCATATATATATTAAGATGAAACAGTTGGGATGAAACACGTGCAACCTAAAAGAAATAATCTGTGTATGCCTCTCCTGACTGTAGTGTTTTTAGAGAATTATTCCTGAGTTGCTGTCAGTGTGAACATACTGAAATACATGGGTTTTAAAAAAACAGATGTCTGCAACATAATGTGCAAAAACATATAGGATGCTAGTGGAGGAGTGTGAATTATAATGCATAATATGTTGTGGATAGAACAGAGGCTATTAAAAAAGGCATATAATACATAAAATTTAAAAAGAAAAACCCAAATATATTTCTAGCTTTTCAAAAGGCTCCTATAATTTTCTGCACTAATAGGGAATTCATTTTATTGCGATGGTGACAAATATGTACAGTTTAGCACTGATATTTCATTAGCCTACTTAGTAATATCATCAGCGCAGGAGTTTTGGAGAGAAATTTCTTGGTTCCGCATTTTTCCAAAACTACGGTACTATGATATTACCTAGTAGTGTAATGAAATGTCAACAATCCCAAAACCAAGCTTGGAGAACTTCAACAATGCAACAGTTCATATTAATGTAAACATGGATGATAATTATCAGATTAATCTCTACTTCATGATTCTTCTGAACTTTCCTACATAACAAAATGGTACCTTTTCTGAATATATAAGTTACTTAGAAGATATATACACTTATCAGTCCCGATTTGTGTACAACCTAAAAAAAATTGCAGTGTTCCTAATCATTATCACCATCAAATGCTATACAGTGATTTCTAAAATGTTGATGTATATCTTTTTATCTTTCAGTACTATACTGTACATAGTAAATGTACTTAGAACATACCACTTTCTGTCATTGTCTCTCTTGTTTTCAGAAAATCAAGCAATAACAATTTATGTTTGAAATTCTTACAGTTTGGATAAAGCGCTTCATTCTACTGGTATAGGTTCTGGATTTATAATCCTTAAAACTAATTTGACCAACCCATTGAATATGCTGTTACCTATTCTACAGACAGTAAGTAAAAGTTACCTGGATCTAGAAAGACAGTGGTGAAGCTTCGGTATGGGAAAATTCCCAATTTGCTTCTACTGAATGTAAAGGACTTGAATGCTAAGAAAATAAATGAGTTTTAAAAATAAATAATATTATACAGTAATGAGTTAATTATATACATGAATGAGTAAGTACATCTTTGACAGTGACTGATAGAAAGTGAAAACTCTGAGATTTCAATAACTGATTATCTTTTGAAAACTACTGAAACTATCACTAGTTCAGAATATCATAAATATAATAAATAAAAATGTTCTAGCCAGTATGTTTTTTAAAATGTAAATGGTTTTAAAATGTAAATTCTGACCTGATATTAAGTTGCTATTGATCCATATTTTGGATCAGGGAATCTGATGACTGTCACCCCACACAATTCACTAGGGGTTCTATTCATGCTACCTCACCCTCCATAAACTAAATGAGTATTGAGTGCAGAAGAGTGTTTTGGTGGGGGACATATCAACTCTGTCTTTTTAGGAACCTGTATAAGACTATTAATACCTCAAAATTTGGATAACATACCACTTTCTGTCATTGTCTTTCATTGCTGAGCATATTAGATTTAGTAACTTCTTATTTTTCCTTTAAATTTTACTTCTTGGTTTTCCTGAAAATTTTATAGGGGAAATAGGATATGGATATTTAAAGTATTAAATTTTCCTGATATATAAATATTGTGCATTTATCTTCTAGGTCTTCCCCCTAGATTACATTCTTATTACTACCATCATCATGTACTTCATATTTACTTCAATGGCAGGAATTCGCAATATCGGTATATGGTTCTTCTGGATAAGGGTAAATTTATTGTGTCTTTCACCAACTTTCCAAATAATTTAGTATGTTTCACAAATAAATAAAACGTTGCAAATGCACATTAGAAAATAAGCAGAAAGTTTTATATTATGTATAATATTAAGCCAAATACATATTTTGTCAGCTTTTATGTCAGCTCAAGTACATCATTTCACTTCACATCAAGATAACTTATGCAGGAATCATTCTGAAACTGGATGCCTTGGAATTTGTCCAGAATAACTATGTGGCAATTTTGCTATATTTAAATGCTTAATTTCAAAACATAGATATTAGTAGTAGTAGTAGTAATAGTAGTAGTATTTAAAAAACCATTTTAACATACTGCATTTCATAATATGCTATTAAGTATGGATTCAGTTTTAAAGCATTGTGTATAGGGTGTTTTAACTTTTAACATTTTTTATTGTATTAAATGTATGTTTTTATTTAAGCAGGGCTGCTTTGAAAATAGACACTTGCTAGAAATGTAATGTTTAGATGTGGTATTTTTAAAAAAGAAACAACTCTTACCTAATTTTTATGTCCCTGGCCTAAAAGAAACACTTCTTAGCTGTTGTCATCAGTTTTGTATTTAAATGTTTGGAAGGCTAAGACATAGATGAGATAGCACACCATTTTTTTTTCATTAGTCCTAGAGCAGCTCTTAATCAGTAGTCCATGCACCCTTTGGAGGTCTGTAGATAGATTTCAGGGGTTCCATGAACTTGGATGGGGGGGGGGGAATTATAACTTTATTTTCACATATACTATTAGACATTTGTTATGTTTTAATATTTGATAACTGTATTTGAGCATAATTGGTTTCTTTGTAATACAATCTATGTATTTTACTTTATGCATTTAAATATATTTTTCTAGGAAGAGATCCATAGGTTTCACCAGACTCTCAAAGGGGTCCGTGGCATAAAAAGGTTAAGAACCTCTGCTCTAGAGGATAGAGTCAGTAACAACAAATTCATATTGCAAGAAATTGGATTTGACTATAAGTAAAACTATCTGGTAGGCTGTTTCCCCTGGAACAAATACCTCATAACGATGGACTCTTCTTTGTAAGAAGTTTTTAGTCAAAGACTGAATGCTATAGCAACAGATTTTTGCAAAATTGGACTATTTATTCTTCATTTATTTATAGGATTTATATAGCCACCCATCTCAAACAAGTGACTCTGGGCTGCTTACAAAGATTAAAATACAAAAGAAAAGACTAGGTTACTTTTAAGTTCCTTTCCAACTATGAGTTCCACAGAAAGGATGAGAAGCATTTAGTATAATCCCCCAGTGGAGCCCTCATCACTCAACCATAAGATCTCAAGCCACATGCCAAATACCTCATTCATGTTTTGCTACAGTTCTCTCTCTTCTCTTTTCTCTTTCTTTGCTGCTTTTGTTTCCTCTCCTTGTTTTGTCCTCTGCTGTTAAGCACATGGTATAATGCTCTGTGTGGAAAAGAACAGGAATATATAACACCAGGGTAGATGTACTTATAGTTTGGCTTGGCATAACCCAGTTGCCTGTAGATGAATACATTTTAACATGATGATTCCATATTTAGATAAGTTAAAGCACCCATTCACCAGTAATATATGCAAAACAATATTTTGATTGTATAGAATAGTAAACTCCTATAACTCTTAAAAACTTGGAACAGAAATTGCAAATGAAAGGATAGCCTGTTTAAATGATATTTTGAGAGACTTGTTTTAATGTCAAAAACTGACTCATAATGTGTTAATATAACATTTTTTAAATTTTAGCTGTACAAGATCAGACGGGGAAGGACACGACCTCAAGCCCTTCTTTTTCTTTGTATGATACTGCTATTGATTGTTCTTCACACCAGCTATATGATCTACAGTTTAGCCCCTCAATATGTTATGTATGGGAGTCAAAAATATCTAATTACGGTAAGATTTTGGAAATTCAATATCAGCCATCATGCATTTTGAAACAAGCACTTTTTTGTCTTTTGTTGAACATAAGTTCAAGTAATAAATTTAGTGTTCAATTGTGTAATATCCTAAGCATTATAGTGATAATTTCATAACATGAAGGACAAAATACCATTATTTTTCCTTTTCATCACTTTTTTCCAGTTCCATCCTTCAATATTTGTTTAGACAATAGTGTCTAAAATTCTCCTTCTAACATCAAGAGTGGGTTTCCTCCATATTCCTCCCCCCCAGGAAATCAAGAGGGGTTGAACTAGGGGACAGGCCTTCTTGGTAGTGACCCTCCTCTTGGATCACAGTTGCCCCATAGATGTGATTAGCTCCCACTTTCTTGGTCTTCAGGAAGGGCCTCAAAACAATTTTATTTCAGTGGGCCTTTGGGCCTGAGTACATGTTCAGGTAATCTTCGACTTACAACAGCAGTTGGGACCGGGATTGCCATTGCTAAGTGATGCAGTCGTAAGGCACGATGTCACATGACCACATCGCTTAGCAGTGGCAATCCCGGCAGTCCCCATTGCCATTGTAACCCAAGATGCACGGGTCATTAAGCGGGAAGTGGAGGGTGTCCTAGATAAGGAGTGTAGGGGTGCTGCGGGATGGTAGAGGAGGCCCAGGGAGGCCCGGCACAGGCCACGCATGAGTAGAGGGAGCGGGTGCTCAGTGCTGCATGAGTTCAGAAAGACTGGTGAATGGGAGTGTGGAGTGCATGCAGTCACAGGGAAGCCAAGGAAAGAGGGTGTGGGATGCATGTGAGCGGACGAAGAAAGGCTGGGGGAGACTTACCCCAGCGACTTGCTGGCTTCCGGTTGAGTTTGCTTGGGGGAAGCCATCAGGGAAGGTTGCAAATGGCAATCATGTGATCACAGGTCACTTGGCAACCAGTTGTAAATGCGAATGGGTTGCCAAGCACCCAGATCACAATCATGTGACTGTGGGGGTGCTGGGACAGCTGCAATCTCAAGGACCAGTCATAAGTGTCCTTTTTCAGCACCATCATAATGTTGTAACTTGAGGACTACCTGTATGTTTTATTGTGTTCCAAACAGGTTTCATTACAGGACTTTCTCTTCCTACAGTTCTAATTTACCATGTATGTCTTTCACTTCTGTACTTTTCTTTCATGTCTTACTTACTTACGGTCCAAGACCAAGTCACAAAATTTAAAATAATGCAGCACACCATTAATACCTGTATAAATAATTTTATATAGTACATACATATATAAAAGGAAGAAACCCTATAAAGTTAACATTTCATGGAAAGGACCAAACAGTTTCTATAAGCTAAGGCTATAAATAAAACTTTCACTACCACCTTCAGAATACCTGGGTATTGGTCATTTTATAAGAATCCCTCAATTTTGTTCTCAAGAGTGGACTTTATCAAACTAAAGAGTGGGTGTATTAGCTCTGATTGCCAGTATGTACTTTCATTATTTTTCAAGATCCACTCTTGATACTGTCAAATAATGGTCTTTCCAACATTCAGAACCTCTCATCTCCTTTGTATCCTCACTAATTCACTCAGCCTTTCATCATAAACAGTCATGTTTTAGATGTACATTTATTCCTTTACCTTGTGTACATTTGCATAAGTTATACTTAAAGTGGTATTTGTTAAAGTGTGGGTTCTGACAACAGATGGAGGGTCACCAGAGACTGCTCTGCTATCACTCGTTTTTGAGGAGGCTTACCAGTTTGATGTATACTGAATAAGAAGTAATGCAACAGTTCCAGAGTTCTATGAAGCCGGAGTGTTCTTTTTGTTCTTGTTTTAGCACAATTATTTATTCATTTATTTGATTTTTATCCCAACTTTATTTTGTATAACTCAAGCAGTGTACATAATACTCCCTACTATTTTCCCCATAGCAGCAACCTTATGAGGAAGGTTGGGCTGAAAGAGAATGACTGGCCCAAAGTCATCCAACTGGCTTACACACCTAAGGGTGGACTGGAATTCAAGGTCCCTTGGTTTCTAGTCCAGCACTTTAACTGCTGTACCAGACATGACATTTGCCTTTCAAAGGAGAAGTAATCATATGTGGAGGGCACAAGGCTTCTGTGTAAAGTTCTGATCATGCAACCAGGTGTTCACTCTGTAGAGGAAGTTGCAGTGTAGGGGAAGGGAGGAGAGATGGAGCTATGATTCTATCGCAGTGTACACCAAAAAGAGCACCAAAAGCAAGTTACAGGCTGCCAATATTGTGCAAATTGCAGTATTTAAAGTGCAATTTAAAAGAAACTGATTTAAGGGAAGGATATAGGGATTTTTTTAGCCCTTACTTTGATGAATGACTGTGGCTATCTTTAAAATGAAAATCAGGTTTCAGGTATTATGCAAAAGTAAGAAAATTCCTTCCCATTAAAATATTATTTGATTTTTTGTTGTTTTGCTTATTTTGTATAGTTGTGAGTTTCAGTAATTGTTTTATTTGATAGATAAACTAAAAATGAATAACTACAAATAAGTGATATATTTATTTTTTGCCCAGGCCTAACCTCAGTGAATTCTCTACTTTTATTCTTGAGGGTGGATGTCACACAATTTTTTTTTATACTTTCAGAGGCTCACATATTACAGAGTTTGAAAGTCTGTTACTTAAATCATGTATTCAAAATAGACTTTTTTTCTAAGCATTTTCAGTCATTCCTTGATGAACCAGTCACTTTTTCTGTACTCTATTATCTCATTCCCTTCTATCTATTCATGTCACCTAGCAATATCACTTTTTTCCCCAGAACTCATTCATTCAGTTTCTTGGTAGGGATTTGACCTTGATAGCAGATTGAAATTATCAGTTTTTCAGCTGATGGAAAGTTATCAAAACAGTTTACATATTGTTAATAAAACTGTTTGCATGTCAAATAGTAAAGGATTGAAATGTAGTTCTTCTAATATTGCATGTTATTCAAATACCTCTCTTTAAAGGAAAAATACTCGTAAGACTTATCTAATGTCTGTTGCACAAAAATAAAACCCATGATGTGTCTCTGGCATTAGTATCCTAAATGTATTATGAAATGATCCTCAATTAATGTCTTCTTGTGCAGAATAATAAGACACTTGAAGGACACTTGAACAATGCAACAACATACGTATCCAAAGTCTGTGATGCAGATGCGCCTGAAGGTGAGATAACTTCATGCCTAGTTCTAATATATAGTGAAAGATAACCTAACTGGTAATTAGCATATTTGAATGTACTGATTTTTCTTGGAAGGCTCTGAAGCTACTCAGAAAAAACCTTGCAAATAACCACTACCTGTGATGGAACTTGAGGATGTCCTTGGAAGCTGGGGGGAAGAGATGTTGCCTAGGGAATGATTAGATAAAAGAGGAAGGAGTCCACAACAGAGTAACCACTAGAGAAAGAAACTTAGGAAGGACCAGCCCTAACTACTCAGGAGGTAAATAGGGAGGGCAGGAGATTTGTATTTTCAGACTTTGCCTTACAATAAAGTAGAATTAGCTCATCTAGTCATGTTTCCTGTCTGGTTTACCTGGGAGGGCTGACATCAATCTTGCAAGTCTGAAAGGGCAGGTTTCTTTCTCTGGCCATTACCCTCCTTTCTCCTTCATCTGATCGTTCCCTGGGCAGCATCCCTTCCCCCTCTCCAGTCTTCCAAGGTCACCCTCATATTCCATCACACTATCAGAGCTCACCTTGCAACTGTCATTAATTTGATTATTAGCCCCCCACTTTGGTTGCAATAATGATGAAATACCTACTATTTCATGAATTTCCAAGAAATAAAAATACTGTTAAAGCTCTTGGTGAACTGTGTTTCTGTTTTCACAGTCTGTTCTGATGTTACATGAAGGCTTTGACCCTGAGCCATCAAATTCCTTTCAAATATATCAAATTAGAAACTTGCTGATGCTTGGACATGATGGCTTCTTTGAGAAGTGAGCCATCATAAATAGAGTTCCCTCAACAAAGTTCCCCATCCATATTGTTTTTGCCGTTATTTTCAAAAGAGTACACTCTTAGATTGTCACTATATTTCTGTCGTCCATTTTGAAATGACAGTTTTTGTCACTCTTGCGCAGTTTTTAAACAAGTTTAACATTCAGAAGAATGTTCCTTCACTGACAGCTATTTTGTATTATCTTCCTCTCAAATAGTCCAGATGCTCCAGTACTCTCCACTTCATTCGTTAGGCAGGTCTAGGGAGGTAGACTATTTGAAGGAAGATCTAGCCAGGAGTGAATGAGAAGGTATTTGCCACTTCCTCTCAAGAGGTTTTTTTGTTTGTTTGTTTCTGCAGGGAATGGCTGCCAGTTTCTTGCATATAATTTCTAGAAGGCTGTTGGGAAAAATGTGTAAATCAGTCTTCTTTGCCTGATAAAACTGTGACTGTAGTCTTAAGCATGCTTATTACCTGTCAGTAGAACTACTTCTAAGTAATGTGTTAATGACTAGACTAAGTTTAACTTGTTGTACTTTGGAATAGAGATGAGCATTTGGCCACTAACTAGATAATTTATTACTTTCCCCACCAGCTTTTGAGAAGGAAAAAAGTGCTGAGATGAGGGAGCCTTTAATAAAGAAACTGACACACTAATTCATTTGTAATAAATTGTTTTGGCTGTAACTACTTGTTCAGCTAGAATGTTCTTTTAAATATGTTCATTGTTCTTTGGTGCAGTATATTTTAGCAGTCCAATTTACTTTCTAATTTACATTCTGCTACCAGTCCTTATGGTTTATGTACCAGTATATATTGATTATGTAGTTGTACTGACAGAAGAGTACGAGAAATAAGAGCATTGTTAATGTGATTGCAGATGAATTCCAGTTTCTTTGGTAATATAAGAAGAGGTTGTTATGGCAACTACATTTCTAAAAATATTACCTCAAATGGAAGAGTAACCTGGCTGAATTAGACCAAAGCGTATCTACCCCAGTATCCTGTTTCCCACAGTGCTTAACTTGATGCTTGCAGAAATAACTATCTTCCTCTTTTCTTCAGCAAATGATACTTTAGAGCATTATGCCACTGATCTTTGGAAGTGTTGTTCAGTGATTAGAGCTACTCATAATTTATCCATCATTTATTTGTATAATGTTTCTTTAAAGGCACTTAAGTTGTGAGCCATCATCATATCTTATGGTAGTTAAAACTATGGAATTCATTATGTACTGTAGGGAAAAAAATGCTTTATTCTGAATGTCCATCATGGAATGACATCAGTTTCTTATTTTAGGAAGGAAATTAGTTCCCTGTCTGTGTACCAGGTATAAGAATGTACAAAACATTCTTTGCCTTGTGATATGTTTAAAATATTCTGCAAAAAATACAATGGTTTTAAACTGGAAAGCTGGCAGGCTGCAAAGCAAAACTCTAGCCCTCAGTGCTATATTTATTTTCAGAAGTTAGTCTGGGTCTTCCCTGTCTTCCAGAGGTATTATTAGGAAATGAAAACAGGTGATTCAGTTCAGGTAAAAAAAAATTGTAAATGGGATAATAAGGTGTATCCTTATTCACAAAAATATTGTAACATAAACAGTAGCATCTTGAACTAGCAAGGATTGACCAAAAAGGAATCTCAAGGTTGTGGTATATATTTATGTATAATGAAAATGTCAAGAGCCTTGAGAGTGTGGTAGCTTATAAATCAATAAAATAAACTTTTGCAGCGGGTATAAAAGAGGGGAATTCTGTTATAAAGATAGTAAGAAATAGATTTGAAGATAAAACTGCCAGTTCTGTAATAACTTTCTTCAGCTGTATAAGGCCATACTCTTGAATATTGTATGCTGTTCTAAAAACAATGTTATAGACTGGCAACTATATCCAAAAAATAATATTACGGAAAAAAGCAACCAAAATTATTAAGGCTCCCAAACTATCCCTTGTTTTGGCATACCATGTGTATACTTACATTCCAGGGCAACGATATGATATGAAAGGAAAACAGATATTAATGCTAAAATTATTGTTAAAGTTATTCAAGAGGTTTGGCAAGGGATATTAATCAGAAAGCTCATTGACTGATGTTCCACCTTTTTTGTAACAAGTATTTAAGGCAGATTCAAATCCAACTATGCAGCATATACCAAATCAGCTGTATCAACATACTAATTTATCAGTATTTATTTTCTTCACATCCTGTAGTCCTTAATGTTATTACAGTGCAAAATATTTAATTGGTCTATATTTCCTTGATCCTTTTTTAAAAATCAGTGTTTGGGGCCTGGTACAGAGAAGAGGAAAATAATCAGTCTTGTTAACCAGTAAAATACATTTGCTGGAAGTGTACACAATTCCATGATTGATCTCTTATAAACTATCAGCTAGATACCCATCTCACAGATTTTTCCAATAAGGTCTAGAATATCTCATGTTACCAATACAGTGGTACCTCGGGATACGAACGCCTCTACTAACGAACTTTTCGGGTTACAACCAG